AATGAAGACAATCGATGCTTTATGTGGGCAATCAGGTCTGCACTGTATCCAGCAGAGAAGGATCCCTGTAGGACAAGTAAGTACCCAGAAGATGACTTGGAGTGGGACGGCGTGGAATTTCCCATGCAACTGATAGATATACCGATATTCGAGCAGGAAAATGATCTAGCAATTAACGTTTATGGAATCAGAGACCAAACGATAGTACCGTTAGTCCTGTCAAAAAGCAAAGGAGAACGCGTACATTTATTCTACCACGGCGGACATTACTCATGGGTTAAACACATTAGCAGACTATTTTACAGACATACTAAGCACAAAGGCAAAAAGTACTTCTGCGACTGTTGTTTACTGTCATTTACCTCCCTAAAAGCCTTAAAGAACCATGACGAGATTTGCCGAGGGGTCGAAGAAGTGGCACAACGGATCCAGATGCCCGCCAACAAAGAGCTTTCATACGCAGACCACCAAAAGCAGATGCAGGTGCCTTACGTGATATACGCAGACTTCGAAGCGTTGATAACTAAGGAASAGCAGAAACGTGGTGCCACGAATAAGGTAGGATTACACGAGATCTGCTCCTTTGGTTACATAGTAGTCAGATCAGACGGTAAAGCAAACCCCCCTGTGATTTACCGAGGTAAGAACGCAGCTAATGAGTTTCTAGAAGCATTGCGAGAAGAGGAGGAAGAGATAAGAGAACAATTAAGGTGTCCAAAGAAGATGGAATTTACCAAAGAGAACCAGGAGGCTTTTACCAAGGCAAAGAAATGCCACATTTGCCAACATACGCTTCTCCAGTTTGGAMGACAAGCAAAGAAAGCGTGGGACGAAGATAGGAAGTATTTAGGAGAAGCTCATTTTAAATGCGGGAAGTATGCTAAGAAAGGTGAGAAGCCAGGAAAGCCCTCCACGCACTGCATTCATTGTCATAAAGCATTCGTTGAAGACTTCTACGTGGATAAGGTTAGAGATCACTGCCACATCACGGGTAAATRCAGAGGAGCGGCTCATTGGAAATGCAATATAAACTTCAAAGTAAATCCAGACATGGAGATTCCCGTGTTCTTTCACAACCTTCGCGGTTACGACTCCCATTTACTYCTTCAGGGAACAGACGGATCCGACGTCAAATGCATASCCAACAACAAAGAGCGTTACATGTCCGTAACTGTAGGTAAGCTAAAGTTCTTAGATTCGCAGCAGTTTATGGCAGACTCCTTAGCGAATCTCGTGAAATACAACACGGAGTTCCCCATTTCCAGTAAATAYGGCGCGGAAAGGAAAGGAGTCTACCCATACGAATACATGGATTCCTGGGAGCGCTTTCAAGAATCTTTGCCCAGCAAAGATTGCTTCTACAGCACCCTAAACGAGTCCGGTATAAAGGACGAGGAGTACCAGCATGCGTTAGACGTGTGGGAAAAGTACTCCTGTGAGAACATGGGGGATTACCACGACGTCTACCTACGTTCAGACGTCGTGCTGCTCGCAGATGTTTTCCAAAGCTTCAGAAAGATGGCAATGGAATATTACGGGTTGGATCCCGCGAATTTCTACACAGCTCCTGGACTCAGCTGGAGTGCGCTGTTAAAGAAGACAAACGCGCAACTGGATCTCCTAACGGAATACGATATGTACCGGTTTATGGAAGACGGTATTCGTGGCGGCGTATGCGGGCCCAGCAGACGTTATGCCCGCGCAAACAATCCTGCAGTTGAGTATGACCCAGAGAAACCAACCACCTACATCTTTTRCTTAGACGCTAACAACCTCTACGGTTGGGCAATGTCACAGTACTTGCCTGTGAGAGACTTCGAATGGGATC